AGGAGAGCCAAGATGTCTTCGAAAGCCTGAAAGTCCAAACTATCCCAGAATAGCTGAACCTAATCTATCAAAAACATGGCTAAGAAACCTTCAACCCTGCTTCGTGTTTCCCAATTAGATACTACATCAGCCCGTTTCAGATGTAGAGCTGAGGCAATGTCTTCTGGTCTAGGATTCTCTTCCAAACCTGTGAAGGGCATCTTCTCAAGGATGGATATGCCCAATAAGTGAGAAAACTCTTCCAAAGTGGGAACTAGCTGATAATCTGGGAACGTGAAGCAATGATGCACAGGATCGAAGAATTGGAAAAGCACAGTCATCATCTGCTCATCAAACTTTGAGGTAACCAAGCTAAGAAGCTGACCATGTCTCCTAATGAATGAAGAAGTATCAGAAACTCTCGAGGCTAAATCTTTGAGTTGAGCAGGTATTTGCATAAAGATAACTCGGATGGTATTTTTGCGCATGGAAACCATAATCTGCAAAACAGAACAAAGATAAATCCCCTCGGTCTTTGAAATGGTTAGTGTAATGAAGTATGCATGCTATGTTATGATGCATGATGTCATGGTAGAACAAACAACAAGTATAACAGATAACAGACATGGCAAAGGCAAACAAATCACACAAAAGCCCTTAAGTTTATGGCCTACATGGAGTCAAAGGTATTACCCTCTTGAAGTTCAGTTGGTTTCAACATGTCCTAGAAAAAGTAACCAGGTTCTATAGGTTCTCAATATCACTGACCATCCTCCATCAGTCATGGTTTCAGCTCACGCAATATTTTCTTGCGGCCGGAACTATCTCGAGAGTATGGTCTCAATGAGTGTAGTATCGAGTATCAACCAGTTCTCAGCTTTATACCGAGGTCGACTATCTCACTACTTCCTAATGGCCAAGTTGGTCAATTATGGGTTCTAAGGTCAGTTGATGCTTAACGATACCATGCAGCAGACATGTATTCTCCTTGTTTCTCCACAAGGCATACCGGTACCAACCAATGTTCCACATCAATGTAGCTACTGCTTCAACCGTATCGGTCTACGACGTACAGTTCCCTCACAGTTTATTACTACTTACCTAAAAGGTGTCCCCAGATCCAAGTTAGGATCTATAGTAACTCCCAAAAAAAACCCTTAAAAGTAAAGCAAACAAAGCAATCAAGAGAAGCAATTACGATGAACTAAATCCTAAGGTATACCCAACTTATTTTTATTTCCCCAGCAGAGTCGCCAGTTCTGTGATACGGTGGCAGAACCGACTGTTTTAGGAAAATGCTGGTTTGCGTTTTACGTTTTTTGTTTGCAAAATATCGCGGTTAGCAAGAGTCCCCACTGACTTTTATTTTATCCAACTGGAAAGGAAAAAAAGCACAAAAAAATTCCTTTTTCGAGATTTTGATTACGGGGGGTAGATTATAAAAAGGGAAGGTATTAGCACCATTTCTATCCGTGGTTTTCCACGGGCTCTTAGGTAATTGCTCATCATTTTAAAAAATTCTTCCGTTTTGTGTATTTTGAAAAGTTTTTGTTTTACTTCGTTTTAACCCTTGTATCAGTCCTCAAGAGTGTTATGAAGTGTTTTGAAAACTTTGTTTGAAAAGAGTGTAAGTGTGGAAAAGTTTATTTTGAGCAAGTACCTACTAGCATCTACCTACTCGAAAAAAAAGAATGTTTATGTTCTTGTTTCCTTTAGACAACTATATCCCAATATTAATGAGTAGGTAGAACCGTCGTTGGAGTTGTAAGGGTCAATTCTAAAGGGACGTATGATCACTAAAGCAATGTTAGGATGTCTTAGTAATAACCCTAATGTCTTAAGATCATATTCGAGGCAACATTTTCGAGGCAACCTTTCCGAGGCAACATTTCCGAACGGGACTTTTGATCTTTGTTTAGACAGGAGGGCGACCACTAAAACACCCTATACTTAATGATCGTTTACCGAAGGCAACCGAAGTGAGAGTATACCCTAGGAGTGCGCATGTGCGAGTGATTTGATTTCAGTTATTATCTTTGCGCATTTAGGGTTTGCTAGCCATTTTAAATTAACATACAGTCTTGTCATGCAATCCTATTATTATACATCTAATAGTTAATATTTGCAAAAATTAAAATGCGAGAAATAAAACTACGCTATTACAAGGCTTCAGGTAGGGGGATTAATTACATAGCCAAAAACCCAAAAAATGACAAATAAAAGAAAAATCATAATTAAACTATTACATACCATGAGCAGTTACATTAATATCGCAAAAAAAAAGTAAAACGCGCGTGATGAATTAAGAACGAGAAGAATTAGGGTTTTGACCCGTCTAAACCTAATTGAAAGAAAAATCATTTTTTGTGGTTATTGATTATTTTGAGGAAAATAAAGTTTTAAATGAATAAGATAAAAACCCTAATTACTAATTAATTTAGATTAAGAAAAATAATTAATTGGACCTGTTTTGTATTTTGTTTTATTGAGAAAAGAACTAAAAATTAAATCAAAACAAAACCTAATTTTCTAATTGATTTTAAATTATTTACAAAAAGGTTAGAATTACCCTAAAATTAAATTTAACTAATTATTAAATTAAATTTGATAAAAAATAATACCTAAATCTAAATTTGTGAAAATTGATTTTTTTATGATTTTTTGTAAAAAGAATTAGTTTGTGTTAGAAAATAAACAAAGTAAATTAAATAAAAGAAATTAAATAAAATGAAAAATGTAAAAGAAAAAGCAACGGGCCTGGTTTTGTAGCAAGAAGGGGGGTCTGAATTGCAAATTCAAGTCCAAATGCGCCTGGCCCATGTTGACTTTCCAGATCCCATGCATTGGCTTGACTCACACCCATGATATGCCCTCATGTGATAGGCGTTGGATCTGGCATGCTGGAGATATGGTCGTTGAAGGATGATGGTGTATGGTGGTCTCCTTGTATGCACATGTGCCTGATTATGCAAGAAACAAAATCATGAAATAATATGGGGACCTGGGGATCGAACCCAGGCCCTTTGGCTTCTGTCCATTGCACGCTTGCCAGCAGGGCTGGCTTGTTCTTTTGTATATGGAATAACAAACAATTATTATAATGGAAAACAAAATAACAATTATCAAAATGCGCGAATTTTTGATTAGGAAAATCAGGGAGTGCCACGCCACCCTTCTTCTTTCTCCCACCGTTGCTAAAAGTCCTGACTTTTACCTACAATCATCTGGGCGTACGTATAAGCCTGCATTTCTCCAAAATCTTTTACGAGTAAGATAAATGCCCAACAATGGTACCAATCAACTCGTGGCAACCTCACGAGCATCATGGTACCCTTGTCCATGGCCAATTGTACCTGTAAAGAAAAACCCCAAAAACATGCCAAGAACCCTAATTATGGCATCTTGCTCTACAGTTAATGAAAATGCAATTAAGTATTACCATTAGTTTGCAAATGTTTCAAGTATCAAGAATATGCAAAGAAATCATGCTACAAATGCGAGAATCGTGATATTCTATTTAAAAAAGTATGAGTTTCGTGAGATGCTTACAGTACAATTCTGGGCTTGAGGGAGCTTGCTAAGGATTGGAATAGGATCCTAGAACGTCCAGGAAGCGACTTGTATGACTGGAATGGCTTGAGGAAGCCTAGAACTGAAAAAATAGTTTGCAACTTTTCTTGATTTTTTGAAAGTTGTTTTCACCTTTGCACTCCTCTAATTCGTCCTCTTTTGATCTGCAAATGTTCTAGATGTACTCTAGAATCAATTAGGGTTACAAACTTGTTTCAAATCTTCCTCAATTAAGATCATTGATTCAATATTTGATTCTTTGTGCAAATCTTTCCAAATTGAGAAAATCCAATCTTTTTGTGTCCATTTGAAGCTTGCACGATTTGATTCTCTTTGCAGCTGTATAAGAGGCCTAAACATGCAGAAAATCTCAAGCTTTGATTAGTTTTGATATTTTTCATGATTTTATTTTTATTTTATTTTATTTGATTGAAATAAAATCCAAAAAAATGAAAAAAATAAAATAAAGATAGGTGGGAAGGATCATGGGTCGTGGGTCATGTTACAAACTCAATGCAAGCATAAAAAATTGGGCCCATTTGACAAAAATTGCAATTTGAGACATATTTGACTTTTGGCAATTTTGCAAAAAGGGTCAACTTTTCCAATGCATAACTCCTTCAATTTTGACCCTAGAGATGTGTTCTTTGACTTTTTAGAAAGATTAAGATGTTCTCTAAGCAACCTTTTGGTCTCATCTCAATTGAGTCTTCCATGTTCACGTATGAAGCTTTGACAAAAAAGGTGTTTGTGTTGACTTTTCAAAATGACCTATAATGTCCAAAGTTATATCTTCTTGTGAGTGCATATTTTGAACTTGGGAGCTGAAGATGAATTGTAGGGAATTGCATCCTATTAAAAATGATCTTTGGATGGGTCATTTTTGATAAAGTATGAGAAAGTTATGCTTGGTCAAAGTTGAGTTGACTTTTCCTACAAAACCCTAATTTAGCAACTTTTGGGTTTTGATGAATTGTGAGCAATCCTTGAGGAATCATGATCAACCCTTGATCAAATGATTAATAATGCTTCAAAATTAGAATGTTGACCAAAAATGTTGAAGTTTGACTGTATGTGGGCCACAGTTGACTTTTTTCCTAGCACAGTCGATTTTCAGGCCTTTAAGCAATTAACTGAGCAAACTTTCTCTGCAAGGCTTGAAATTTGACATGGATGATCTTGAGAACATATTAGGACAATGGTGAGAATTTGGGTTCCTTTGGACTCTAACATCTTGATGCAAACTGAAACCCTAATTTGAGGTAGACTGCCTTAGGAGAGAGTCTGTCTGGTCAACCCTTGGACTTCCTTGAGCAATTTGAGGACCTCACTTGAGATATTTTTTGAGAAATATGGGAGGGAAAATTTTTGGGTACAACACAATCCTACAAAGATTTGAATCAATGTTTCAGTCCATTAAACAATTAACAGGTGCTTCAGCAAGTCTTTCACTAGTGTGAGGGGATGGAACATAAATGAACCTAACATAATAATATTTACACTCAATCATATTGTCATTAAGAATAAGAACAAAAAAATATACAATTAAGTTATAAAATATAAACATTTTTACCTCAAGATTCAACTCTGTAAAGTCCACGAGACATCAATATAGTGAGTCATAACCGCCATATACCCTTTTTTTTGGGTGCTTGAAGTCCACATATTTGTGGTAATCACCACTCTTCCTTCATGGCTATCTAACATCTTCATAGCATATTTTCTAAAAATAATAAACTTTCAATACCTCCTTCTTGATTGTGTTTCAAGTAGGAACATTAAACAATGGTTGGAGAGAAACAAAGACTCTTCTAAGACCAACGTGATCCACAATTCATAGTGGATAATCGTGCATAATAATAACTTTAGCAATCAACTTCTTCACATTTTCTGGATTATAAGTTCTAATTCCCAACTCTTTCTTTCCTTCTGAGATAGTAGGCAGGAGAAATGGTTGTCCTTTTTCATGTGTTCTATTCTTGATCTTTTTTAAATACAACTCAAGAGATGTCCTTTCAAGTGATTTGTTCCATTCTTTGAAGTGCCACTAAGTTGTTTTTTACACGAGATGCATTCAGCCTTATCTTTTCCATTCACTTTCATCTTTTTAAATTCTTGCCACACATTACTTCTTAGTTTCTTTGGTGCAGGTTCTATGCTTGTATCAATTTCTTCTTGTTGTCCAACATCAGGTTCAGGTGTCAGATTCAAATTAGAAGATACCTCCTGAGTTGGTGGACATGTACTTTCTTGTATAAGATTAGATGTTCCTTCCGGTTCTGGGGGTTGTGTTCACTTGATCCATTTTACCTATTACGAATAACAACACCCCCACCAAATAAGAAATTTGTTAACATAATGATAATAACATAATTTCATATATATAATCCTTTTATAAATACTACCATTATCTTTCTGTTAAACTAAATATCGATAGAGTATAAAATGAAATCAATTGATTTGTTAATTTTTAATGAATGTAAAATAAAATCAATTCTTACTGAAGCAAAAACCCACTTCAATTTGTATATTACAGCTTTAGAAAACATTAAAGGGCTACTTAAACTAAATTTGATACTTTTATAAATACTACCATTATCTATCTATTGAAAAGATAATGGCAGTGGCAGATCATAAAGTCATAAATAGTCATTGTCAAATTTATAACATAATAAAACAAACTAGATGTCTATCCTAGCTTACTTTTCTATTAAGATTCTCTTGAATTGATCACTACTACAGTAAAGTAGATGGAATATTCAGAATAACAGTAAAGAAGTTTGCATTACGTTTAAGTTCCTCTAAAATTAGGAAGTGTACTTTAAAATATAAGTAACCTTTAATAATGTGATAAAATACATGCACATTTGTAACAAACTAGGAACTTGAGTTTTGGACTAACTTTTATAGCTTCATGTTTCCTCTTTTAAAGTGCACCATTTACTTTGAACTTCAAAATAGATAAATTCAAAGTTTTTAATATGCTATATATCTGATAATAAACCTCTTTGTCATGTTTTGAATATGAAACACTTGAATCCTATTCTATGTTGGAAACTCACAAACTGGAACCAAACCTTGTTTAGGAAATTGAGTGATTCCAAATGACCAGCTTTGCTGAGTTCAAACAACATAGCTCAATAGTAAACCAGGATAACAAAAATTACAAAAAAAGTATCTAAGGAATGAATATATCATAATAATCAAAAGGAACTCTTCATTGATAACTCAAAAATTTGAATTACAATCTTTAACTTTGCCAATAAGTTAATCCTGATTTATTATCATTGTAAGCATGTTACACGTTATCAAATTATACCGTAGGAATCTCATTCTTTCATATGTACATCCAAAACTCGTTCTATTCCTCCCCTCGCCCAAAATGTTCTCGAAATTTCCTGACATTCCATCAGATAATATGAATTCAAGGGGATTTTATTTGCAGTTCTTGACGTGGCTCATTAAACCGTGTTCTCCAACCATATTAGAAAGATACTTATTAGCCATTCATTAGTTAGCTACACTATTGGGTAGTTTGGTCACACACACACTGTTAATATAGAACGAATTATTAGTTATTACAATTTGACAATTGTACTTCTGAGCGTTTTTGACATATGCTACATTTTTTTTAAAAATAAATCTCTACAGTACTTATATCACTGATGGTTTTGATGTCTGTTTTATAATATTCAAATTAAAATATTTAGTTGGTACTTGGTAGGTTTTGGGATATGGTTAACCTGTCTCTTATGACTATCAGAGTAACTGATGCTTTATTATGAGTACTGAAGCTGATCTTCACTTTTTTTGTTGTTGTTGACACTGTGAGAGTCGAACACTGTGAATGGGTTCATGTTGAACAAGGAATTCAGATAAGCTTTTGAAGCTTTGAGTTTTTGAACAAAGAGTAACTGGTTCATCATTTCGCCAACAACACAAATTAAAACTAAAACTAATTCAATCACAACAACACAATTTAATTCAGTCACAACAAGTTATGTCATAGATTTTTGTTTCTTTCAATCACAACAAGTTTAGTAATTCAAACAAGCACAAGATTAAAAAGCAGAAGAACCTTGAAACTAGCATAACCATCAATTGAATCTCATGAAAATCCATTGAATCTCATGAAAATCCAATTGAATCTCGTAAACAGCAATTGCAGAACCGATTAAAAGATTTTATGGTATATCAAGTATTAAGAAGAAGAAACGAACCACGTGAGTGAAGGACTGGTCATGTGAGTGAAGGAGACAGAGGAGGTTGTAGCCGCCATCGTGCCCGTGAGTGGAGTCCGTGAAGGCGTGAAACTGTGAAGTACTGAAGTGAAGGTCTATAGTGGGTCACGAGTGAAGTGAAGGAGAGGAATGTGTCACAAGGGTGAAGTGAATTTGTTAAGGAAAGAAAACCCTATATTTTAATAATTATTGAGTTATATATATTTAGGGGTAGTTGTGTAATTTAATGTCTTAGCAGGTGTGGTTTCGGGTGCGGATTTAAGTTATCCCAAACCCGTACCCGAAATATCGGGTGGCACCCGAATTCGAACCCAGTCAACTTGGGTTTTCACCCGTTGACCCGGGTTCAGGTGTGCGTGGGCCCCGCAGGTTTGTGTTTGCCTGCCATCCCTAATATCAAACACTTGAATTCCATGGAGAGAAATAAACTCTCACATACTTTTTGAAGCAAAGGGTTTAGATTGCAGACTTTCATACACACGTCATACAAATATGCAACTCCCGTCAGGGTATTTGTCATTATTTATATGCACACTTTCGTTAGAGGAACATTTCCTCACACATAAACAATAGATAATGCTTCCCTCTTCACATATGAAAGAAAATTTTGGTTTGACCTCCTTCTTCTACACACCACTTAGCACAAGCGGATTCTTCATTATGACAAACAATCATGAGAGATATACAACCCACAAAGATTAGGCCAGTGGCTTGACTTCTTATTCCACCATGATCTTTGGAACAACTTCCTTTTCTGAAGAAGCAAACTCTTGAGATAATGTTCCATCATCAGTCCAGACATCAATCTTAAACATATGGATTTTACTATCCACTATAGCTTTGGAGATAACACCCATAGTGAACCACACACATCTTTTAAAAGGGGCATAAGAGAACCATACTAGAATGCACCAGCAGCTGGTAAATAAAAAATGCAGTAGCTTGCATACCTCAAGAAAATTCTTCTCATAAGCATAATTTCCAGATCTTCTGTCTGAATTTGAGGTGTAAAATTCCATCTTTATACACCAAGAGATGATATTCCCTCTACCAGATATCTTCCATCTTTGATCCTAAGCATCTACCAGATGACAGAGAATGTCTTTTACATTAGAACTTGACCTCCATTTATAAGGAACCTACATGAGGTAACACATCCCCACCAGACACAAGATCTCATCCTTTGTACTCCTGCTTACTTGAATAAAAAATAAACTGACCCAAATAGTGTTCAATAGGTTGATCATCTCATGACCAACCCACCCATCTAGGATATGTTTCTTGGATGGAGACAACTTAGACACAAAACTAAGATCCCTCTTTGACATCAGTAGAAGATACTATTATTTCTCTGAATTTATGTTCGGAAATCATTTTGGTAAAAGCAACATGGCATGAACATGTTGAATAAAGAAGTCTCAACTTGCTGTTTTCAACATGTCGAAGAAGATGTCCCAACTTGGAGATAGGACATCGTGTCTGCATCATTCGTTAGTAACATCTCAGCTAGTTTATCAGTTATTGAATATTTGGGGAATATTTAGTTAGCTGATGTGGCGTCTATGATTGACAACTGAAATTATTTTATGTTGGTTTTTGAAGATTTGCATAGTTTCTAAATATGGAGACATTTTAGGAAACTCTTGATTGAAGACCAATTACCTTGGAGAAGTTTCTGTAGACTTTGTGTAGCCTCATTGTTACGATTTTGAAGCCCAACCCAGTCTATAATAATATTATAAATAGACTGGCGTATACCTAGTTTTAGGTGGAACTTATGTGTGTATTTTGTTAGGGTTTTAGAAATCCTTATTGTTGCGTTTTAAGTTCCTTGTTAGATGTTCTTAAGCTTTTAAGCATAAAACATTTATGTGTCAAGTACTCACAAGCTGTGAAGCATTGAGTACTTGTGTGTAAATTCTCATAAGCTTTTAAGCATTGAGTTTTCTGTGTCTTGGAAGAGTGACTTTCGTTTTTGTTCTCTACTTGTGTTAGAGTGTCTCCAATTGCTGAGTGTAATTGAAGAGGGATTTGAAGAGGGCCTCATACCAAGGTGTGTCTTACGTAGAAGTTAGACAAAGGGTAGTGATTAAATGCGTAGTCTATAAACTGGAGGTTTGCTGTAAGGTCTACAAAATGATACTATCTAGTTAATTTCGTCCCTGGCTTGATAACCCCTAGAGTAGGAGTTGTTGTGTCCGAACTCGGTAAACATATCTAGTGTTATTTACTTTCAACATTGTTTTATTTGTTTATACTTCTTGGTGTTGTGTGTGAAGTAAAGTCCAATTACTCGACATCTTTTAGGACATCGGGATCTAATAGCCAGAATTTCAATTGATATAAGAGTAGATATCCTACTCTGACTCTGGGTGAGATTCAGGGAAGTTACTTTCTGGCGCAATGGACAAAGATGGTGCAATCACGGTGAAAATACCCATTATGGATGGTACAAATTATGACAGTTGGAAATAGCATATGGAAACATACATTAAGTCCCTGGGCTACAAGGCCTGTGTAGGTGTTTGTTGGCAGCAATTTTGGTAAAACACTGCTTTGGTAATGTTTTGCTTAATGTATTGACATTTGAAGTAAATCATCTCAACTGATTTTGAATGATGTCAAAGCAAATGTCTTAACATCTTTCTGCTGATCTGCACGTGTTTTCAGATTTTTTGTTTCCTGTTTTTAAGCGTGCCTTATTCAAGTTTTATGGTTTATAGCTTGAAAAAAATATGGAGGAATATTTTTCTATCTGCCTTATATTTATGGATTATATCTTGGCCTACTTTCATGGAGATATTCAAGGGATTCAATATTGCCATATTTGTTTTTCAACCCAAGACCCTAAAGAAGCTGCTGCGCCTTTATAAGGATTTGCATCCTTATTCGTACCTCTACAACAATTGAGTAAACATATACTTTGTGTGTTTTAGAAGCCTGGATATTTTAATTGTAATACACTCTAGTATTGTTTCAATACTTGAGTTGTAATTTGGGCTGTAAGTTGTGGATCATTCATAAGCTTTTAAGTATTGAATGATTGAGGTTTTTCAAACTTGATAAATCTGTTGTTTTTCACTCTTAGTGATTGAAGGGATTTTAGGAGGGCCTCATACCTAGGTGTATCTTAGGTAGAAGTATAACACGGGTAGTGATTATGTGATTAGATCGTAAAATGGTTGTTTATTGAGGGTATATGAATTGATACTATTTAGTGGACTTGGACCTGGCTTGGTAGCCCCTAGAGTAGGTGTTGTTTTACACCGAACTGAGTTAACAAACCCTTGTGTTTTTACTGCTTTTAATATTGTTGCATTTTATATTGTCCTCAGATATTTGTGTCGTGACATCTCCTTCGACATCACATATTTGATACCAGAATTTCAATTGGTATCAGAGCAGGCATCCTGCTCTATATCTGGGTGAGATCTAGGGAAGATACTTTCTGGTACTATGGATATGGAAGGAGGATTTGTGAATAGACCACCCATTTTGGATGGAAGCAATTTGACTATTGGAAACCATGTATAGTGGCCTTCCTAAAATCTTTGGACAACAGGGCTTGGAAAGCTGTCTTAAAATGATGGAAACACCCTGTTAAATTGGGAGAAGATGGAGAACCTACTTTTGTGTTAAAGCTAGAAGAAGATTGGTCTAAAGAAGAGGATGAAATTGCACTTGTAAATTCGAAATCCTTGAATATTATATTTAAATTAATTGACAAGAACATTTTCAGATTAGTAAACACATGTGAAGTAGCTAAGGATGCCTGGGGAATTCTTCAATCTACCCATGAAGGCACAACCAAAGTTAAGATGTCAAGACTTCAGTTGCTCACCACCAGATTTGAAAATCTAAGAATGAAGGAAGATGAAAGTATTAATGACTTT